TATTTGTGCAAGCCTTTGACTTAAACAATTCCACAGTGAATCAGCTGTATTATGGTGCCTACCTCCCTTCAAACTTGACTTATTATTACAGCGGTGTATGCAGCTACAATGCTTTTGCCTCATCTTACATTTCTGTGTCTTCATGTTGAAGGCATATTTGCTATAAAAAGTATCTCTGTTGTACCATAATCGCCAGATTTTGTGGTTTTGACTCAAATTAGTGATAAATGAACTCTTTGGAATACTTTGTCTAACAAAAAGCTGTACCTTTTTTCTATATTTTTTTTTGTTAAGCACCTTTAGAATTCTTTTCAGAGGAATTCGAGATGGCTCCCTGTCTCTTTTCCTTCTTCGATTCAAGGTTTCTTTCAAAACTTCACCCTTCTCAAAATTGATTGAACTATGTAAGCTGTATTCCGAACATGTAGTGCAAATAAGCTCACTAACAAGCATAGCCGTACAATTTTTAGATCCAGTTATCAAAGACTCAGAAGGATTTTGTGTACCACTTCGAACACTTAAAATAGTGCCATTTTGATGTATTTTGTTGCTCACCAGAACGGCTGAATTAAATATACAATTCAATTGGCTTAATGGCACAATGGCCACGAAGCAATTGACTAATTTGTTATGCGACCACAACGGGTCGGTTGGCACAATGGCCACCAAGCAACATTACTTGGTTGATTTGTTTTGCGACCGCAACGGGTCAGTTGGCACAATGGCCTCCAAGCAATACTACTTGGCTGATTTGATTTGCGACCGCAACGGGTCAGTTCGATCAAACATGGCGAACCGTTCAAAACAAACCACGTTCTGGTTGATATACAGGGTCCAGAAGTGGCACACACTTTCCTCAGGCCTTGATAAATTACACCTACGAAACTTTTCAACAACATAACAAAATAACTTACCGACCAAACAGCAATAAACGGGCAATAAAGCTTAAACCTTCACCAACGAACAACCACGTCCTCGAACGTCCGACAAACTGCGATGCACGAGGCAGCATCCTTTGCGCAACGAAATTGTGACGTCATTCAAAATGGCGCTGAAAAGATGAAAGGCCGGCCGATCGAACGAAAAAACACGGGAACACGGGTCAGCTTTCGCTTGCGTGCACAGGACACCTACGCGATCACAGGTAGCCCAGGAGATTAGGAAGCGTTCTTGCTTCGTGGAACGCAATAAAATTCAAGTAGTTTGATAGCCAACAAGATCTTACGGTTTCTTACCTGAAGCTCACATCGTCATGAATGACACACGCCAAAACCGATCAAATTCAAGGTTAATTTTGAAAAAGTGAGGCGTTCTTAACTAATCTAACTAACATAGCTAGGAAGTAGGTGCCATAGAAAAGATAATTACCGAAAAAAACTTTGCGGCCCGACCTTTAAGAGAACTTTATAACTCCGTGAA